AGTATATCAGGAGGTCATATCAGTCCATACTGCCTTAGTTAAGGGATCCAGAAAGTATTTTCAGCTGTTTTCTTTAGGACCTGAACTGAAATGTAGAAATCTTTATGGACTGAAATTTGGATTCATACTCTTGCTGTGGTTGTTGTTAGACTTGTTTGCTCGACAAAGGTTCACTGGAATAATCATTGCTGATTTTCCTTCATTTTGCTTTTAGGGGTGTCAGTCTTTTCAGAGCAGGTCACTCTAAAGTAGATTTTAACCTTAGTTTGACTTTGTGGTGGTTTGGGTTTGGCCCATTAAAGGCTAAGAAGAAATAATACTTGTGCAAGTTGCCTTTTCTAGAGACACAAACGGGAACGGCAAAGCTTCAATCTGGACAATCATTTTCCACATTGTATTATAGAATCATATAATAATAGAATTGGAAGTGACCTCAAGGGCCATCCAGTCCAACCCCCTGCCAAGAAGCAGGAAAATTGCATTGAAAGCACCTCCAACAGATGACCATCCAGCCTCTGTTTAAAAGCCTCCAAAGAAGGAGCCTCCACCACACTCCGGGGCAGATAGTTCCACTGCTGAACAGCCCTCACACTCAGGAAGTTCTTTCTAATGTGCATATCTTCTTTATTCTCAAAGAAGTTCTTGCAGAAAACTGTCTGGGTGGTATAGTACAGAAAGCAAAAAAGCAAGGTAAGCAAAGTGCAGACAGAGGCTGTACACTTGGACATTTCTGTAATCGGGCTCAGTGCTGCTTCTCATGCTCAGTGCTTAGGGAGCCTCCATAGCCATGATGGGGCTATTAAACTTGGCGGACTTCTCGCCAGCATAATAACCCAGAAATTCAGCAAGTGGCCATCTTCCAGGCTCTGGGGGGTGGGGGGATGGGGTGGGTGGACTCTCAGCATTTTTAAAATTTAAAAATCAGTCTCTTTTGCACAAGGCTTTTCTGGCTCCTTGTTTTTCAGTCAGGACTAGATGGGAAGGTGGTGCTCCCAAGGGCTACAGGGAAAACAGATACTGTCGCTAAGCAGACTGACTAGGTAGAATGTGACAAAACCATCCTTAAGAAACCACTGAAGAATCCAAAAGACCAACTAATCTACAGAGTTTGACCATTCCAAGTCAATATAATAATACTAATAATCTTCATTTGTATACCGCCTTATCTCCCCAAAGGGACTCAGGGCAGTTCCAACATGTAAGGCAAACATTCAATTGCCAGAAAGAAACCATATAGACAATTACATCAAAATAACACATTTGACAATATAACACAACCTAATAAACTTAATAGAAAATAACAACTAAAATATAAAATACAAAAAATATCTTCTAAAACACATTATAAACAAAAATATTAAAAACCAATTTCATTGGAACTCCATCAGTGGAGGTTCAATAAAACTAAATGGATGTGAGCCAACTACAAAAGGGCTGGGCATGAGATAGTGCAAATAGCAAACCATAGGGCCAGGGGAGTGGATGAAGTGCAGGACAGAGTACTATCTGATTACCTGGAAACTGGGCCTAGGGACTAATGATTCTCAAAAACCTGCTAGAACATCCAGGTTTTCTAGTCCCTATGAAAAGTGGACAGAGTGAGGGCCTGGCTAATCTCCCTGGGGAGGGAGTTCCAAAGTCGGGGGACCACCACTGAGAAGATCCTCTCCCTCACTGCAACCAACCGTGCTTGAGACGCTGGTGGAAGAGAGAGAGGGCCTCCCCAGCAGATCTTAGAGCCCATGCTGGTTCATAGGGGGAGATGTGATTGCAAATATAGGCAGGGCCTGAACCATTTAGGGCTTTGTAGGTCATAACCTGCATCTTGAATTGGGACCGGAAACTTATCAGTGGTACTGCTTTAATTGGGGAATTGTACATTTCCTACAATTCACTCTTCTTAGAAGCTTGGCTGCAGACCTTTGTACCAATTACAGTTTCTGGGCCATCTTCAAAAGCAGCCCCTTGTAGAGTGCATTGCGATAATCCAATCTGGATGTAACCAAGGCATGGACCACTGTGGCCAAGTCCAACTTCTCGAGGTATGGTCGTAGCTGGCACACAAGCTTTAACTGTTCAAAGGCCCTCCCAGCCTGAGCATCAAGAATCAGCACTGAATCCAGGAGGACCCTCAAACTGCAGACCTGTGTCCTCAGGGGGAGTAACCCCATCAAGCACAGGTTCCCAATTGGCCTCACAACTGACCAGGAGGACCTCTGTCTTGTCTGGATTAAGCTTCAACTTGTTAGCCTTCATCCAGTCCATGACAGCTGCCAGGCATTGTCTTCCTGTTTGCCCTACTTGTATTCCTGGCTCCTCCTCTTTAAGGAGAAACACATCCAACCACTCCTTTTTGGTCACACCATCTGTTCGCTGGATACAGCAAACTTTCGCCTTTTACATGTTAGGGTATCTTTTCCTTTGTGGTGCAGTGGGTTGAGAGTTTTGGACTGCAACTCTGGGAAAGCAGGTTCCAAACCCCTTCCCCAGCCACAGAAACCCACTAGGCATCCATGAGCAAGTCATGCTCTCTCAGCCATAGAAAGAGGCAAAGGTAACTCCCTTTTGAACAAATCTTATTAAATACACAACAACCAGTGATAAGGTCACCTTAGGGCCGCCATAAGTAAGAAACAAGAGAAAAGAAAACCAAAATACCAGTGTATACAAAGGCAGCAATACACTAGGCAACAGAGTTTTATAAACTGGAACAGTACAGAGACACCCCACCCCCTCAGCCATGGAAACTGCCGGGGGGCCTTGAGCACGGCACACTCCCTCCCTTGAGAAAAAGCAACCACAAACCTCCTCTGGATAAATCTTACCAAGAAAACCCTAAGATTGGGTTGCCATGACAACAACAAGAATAGAGAAGGTGAATAGAAATATATATTGCCTCAGAAGACAAAACTCAGGGATGAGTGTAGATTTTGCCCTTGTTCCCTACAAACTACTTACACAACATGCCTTTGGCATATTGAGCCCCATGCCACTAACAGGCAGGTCTGGTCCCAACTCCTTTAGATATTTAGGGATCTCAGTATTTGTCGGCTTTCAGAAAGAGTAGCTGGCACCAACAACAGTTACGCTATTTGGGGCATTTCCTGTTGCACCGCACATACAAGATCTCTCCCTGATACCCACCAAGGGGCCTTTCAAGTATTACAATGTTATCAAAATGGGGCAGAGAATGTGCTGGGATATGATGGCCATTCTGCACCATGGAGAACATGGCAGTTGCTGGAGAGCAACAGAGAAATTAAAACAGAAGGGTTGGGACCAGCAAATGTTAAGTACCTTTAAATCCTATTGATTTCAATGCTGAAAAGTTAAGCACAGGCTTAATGCTCTCATTAAAATCAATTAAATGTACAAGTTCTCAATTTTGCCACAACAGAATGGCTATTTTCTTCAGAGACTAAAGAGTTTAATGTAATTGTTTGTTAACTCTATATGTTGCTTTCCCACCAAATGCTGCTCAGTGGAGTCTCCCACTCTGCGGGGCCCATCATCAAAGGGGAATGGCCAGAATCCTATGGGAAAGTTACATACAACTTGATAGAAGAAACCAAGTGAGGTCATTGCCTACGTGTCCTCCAGCACAAACAACTCTTGTAATGCTATGCCTTCTACATCAGCCTTTCTCAACCTGGGGGTCAGGGCCACTGGGGGAGTCGCAAGGAGGTGTCAGAGGGGTCGCCAAAGACCTTGGGTCTGGAAAACATTGTATTTTCTATTGGTCATGGAGGTTATGTGTGGGAAGTTTGGCCCAATTCTATCATTGGTGGGGTTCAGAATACTCTATGATTGTAGGTGAACTATAACTCCCAAATGTCAAGATCTATTTTACCAAACTCCACCAGTGTTCACATTTGGGCATATTAGGATTCATGCCAAGTTTGGTCCAGATCCATCATTGTTTGAGTCCACAGTGCTCTCTGGATGCAACTCCAAAACTCAAGGGCAATGCCCACTTAACCCTTCCAGTATTTTCTGTTGGTCATGGGAGTTCTGTGTGCCAAGTTTGGTTCAATTCCATCATTGGTGGAGTTCAGAATGCTCTTTGATTGTAGGTGAACTATCAATCTCAGCAACTACAACTCCCAAATGACAAAATCATTTTCCCCCCCAACCCCACCAGTTTTCAAAATTTGGGCGTATCATGTATTTGTGCCAAATTTGGTGCGGTGAATGAAAATACATCCTGCATATCAAATATTTACATTACGATTAATAATGGTAGCAAAATTACAGTTATGAAGTAGCAAAGAAAATGATTGTTTGGGGGTCACCACAACATGAGGAACTGTATTAAGGGGACCCAGCATTAGGAAGATCGAGAAACACTGTTGTACATCAAGGGTAGGAAAAGCGCAGCCCCCCAGATGTGGCTGGGTTGCAACTCCCAACATACCTCACCACGCATGACACTCACTAGGGGATGATGCGAGTTAGAACTCAATGACATTTGGAGATAATTCGTTACCCTTTCCTGCATTACAGCAAAGACAGGAACTGTTGCCATTATGCATGCACACAAACACTCCCACCAAAGTCAAAGCTGCACCAAATTTGAAAGGGAGAGTTTGCACTACACTTTTGTTCTCAACTTTCCGCCCACTTGCTTCTAAATGAGCATTATTTTCAGCACCTCACTTTCGTAGCCTTGGGGCTGGAAATGTGCTTAAGGGCTCAGGATTTAGTAGATACCAAATGTTTGTTTCCCAAATCTATCTTCTGAAAAGACTGCCTGCATCCCTTTGAACTACTACATGCCTGCGTTTTCCTTAGACTTTAAGATTTTAGAGTTCAAAGTCTCCTCTACTTAAAAACAATGTAGCTGTTCCACCAACTGAAATCTAGTAGTTCCACAACATCCCTGGCATTTAGAGAAATCACAATGAAAAAAAACACACATTTTTCAAAATGTAAGCCAGTAGTGCCATTTATAAACACCAGTGACCTTGCATAAGAAGGCACGGTTATGTTCGTGGACCTACCTCACCAAGCCATTGAGACACAGCTGTGGCAGCAGCATTGCAGTGGTCAAAGGAGCGGAGGACCTCTTGCGCTTAGTCAAAGGTAGCGAACATTCTTCCCTTTCATCATCTACAGATGGTTAAAAAAAGAGTTCAGTGTCAATAATCTGAGAAACTAGAATTTGACCTGCAGAACTTGGAAATGTTACTTCTGGATGGCTAACATCTTCCTAAAACCCTAGCCAGCTAAGACTATTGGCTTTGGTGATAATGGTAAACTGGAATAATTGTTCCATGCTGTTCTTACTAGATAAGTATATTACCCTAACATCTCTTATGTCTGTGATATTCATCTGAACAAACATTTTCCAAATCCTCCATTATTTCACCTTTTTTTTTACACTTCTTGGATAATGTGGAGGCATATGCACATTGTTCAATTGTTATTTATTTTGTCAAAGCCAAGAGGCAGAAGAAGCAAGATATCACAAAAGAGCAAAAGAAGGCAGAGGTGCCATTACTGAGAGCTGATATTTGCTCCACTGTCTTTTATGGGAAAAGCTGTAATGAGGAGCTGGGGTAGGGAAAAGCCCCTTATGTTCCACCTCCCCACCCTCCAACCCCCAGGAAGTCAGTCCCCCTCTGCAACTTCATGTTCCTCCCTCTATACCAGTATTTCTCAACCTGGAGGTCAGTACCCATGGGGGTGGGGTGGGGGGTCACATTGGGTTTTTTTTAGAGGGGATGCCAAAGACCACCAGAAAACACGTATTTCTGATGATCTTGGGAGCTCCTTTGGCAAGGGGTCCATCTGTCTTTCTCTTCCTTTTTGGTGTTGGTGAACCACAATTTTCTTTTGGTCATGGGAGTTCTAGGTGCCAAGATTGGTTCAATTCCATCATTGGTATAGTTCAGGATGCTCTTTGATTGTAAATGAACTATTAATCCCAGCAACTACCAACACAAATGACAAAATCAATTCCCCCAACCCCACCAGAATTCACATTGGGGCATATTGAGTATTCATGCCAAGTTTGGTCCAAATCCATCATTGTTTGAGTCCAGTTCTCTCTGGAGGTAGGTGAACTACAACTCCTAAACGCAAGGTCAATGCCCACCAAAAATTTCCAGTATTTTCTGTTGGCCATGGGAGTCCTGTGTGCCAAATTTGGTTCAATTCCATCATTGGGGGAGTTCAGAATGCTCTTTTATTGTAGGTGAACTATAAATCCCAGCAACCACAACTCCCAAATGAAAAAAAAATCAAAGCACCCCCACCCCTCCCCTCAAAAACCCCACCAGTATTCAAATTTGGTAATATTAGGAATTTGTGCCAAATTTGGTCCAGTGAATAAAAACGCAAGCTGCATATCAGATATTTACATTAGGATTCATAACAGTAGCTAAATTACAGTTATGAAGTAGCAACGAAAATAATTTTATGTTTGGGGGTTACCGCAACATGAGGAACTGTATTAAAGGGTTGCGGCATTTGGAAAGTTGAGAAACACTGCTCTATACCTTCCGCCATGATGCTCTCTTGGGCTCCCTGCCTGCCTACCAGCAACTCCTCACTCTTTTTTCCACCAAATTAGGGTTTTCCTGCTCTCTTGGCTCCTGGACATCCTGCCTCTGGGTCTCCTCCTTGGGACTGTCCCTGCTGCCTCTTCCGTCTTCACTTGGCTACTCAGAAGTGTAAAAGCAGTCAACATGGGTCACTCTAGAACTTTCATTGTGTGAAAATGCTGGCAGACAGCAACCGCTACAGAAGTTCTTAGCCCCAGTGTTCCAAGCTCTTCTCGCCTGATCCCTCCTTGCAGGACAGGCACAAAAAGAGAGGCCTACCAGGAGGTTTACAAGCCTGAAGCTGGACTTTCCATGTCAACAAACATATTCCACCTCACTCTGAATGCTGCTGCTGGGATACCTTCAGCTTGCCAAGACTACAGTGATTACATTTAAGTCAGAAACCTGAGCTTCCCCCCTCCCCTCCCCCCAAAAAGCCATCCTAAGCTGCATAAAAGATATGCTTCTATTCTTCTGATCCAAAATACAAACCTCAAGTGTGCCAGCATTCCAAGTCCACCCTGTTATTTTTACATGGTGGTTTTGAGAGATAAAATTATTTTGGCTGTTTGGCTATTTGTAGTTCAGTGTCAATAATCTGAGAAAGGAAACTAAAGGAAACTAAACAACTACCTTCAACAGAAACAAGATAAGAAGCAGAGCTGCTCATACTGGCTTCTACATACTTTTATGGCGAGAGACAGTACTGTGCCAATACAAGGTATTTGTGAAAAACAACCAGTGTGGTCTGATATGTTTGCTCAATAAACTGTAATAGTCTCAAAGTACAACTTTGTAACTTTCAGTAGGTGTGTCTGTGGAAATCATGAAAAGTGGCCATTATTAGTCCTATCGTCCTTGACCACTTCCCCTACTTCTAATTCTAAGGCACTGGGATGTCCAGTTTTATTATTCTATTTGGAATAGAGTGGAAAGTAAATCCATTTATACTGCAATATAAAATCCAGATTGTCTGCTTTGAACTGGATTATTATGTAGACAAATATAATCCAGTTCAAAGCAGATAATCTGAATTTTATATGACAGTGTAGATGGGGCCAAGGTCTCTCCATTATGACAATGTCACACACATACTATGTCATTAGACTGAATAGAGCCCCCGGTGGTGCAATGGGTTAAACCCTTGTGCTGGCACAACTGCTGATCAAAAGATCAGCGGTTCGGATCCAGGGAGAGCGCGTTGAGCTTCATCTGTTAGCTCCAGCTCTCTGTGCAGGGACATGAGAGAAGCCATACACAAGGATGATAAAACATCAAACATCCAGGCGTCCCCTGGGCAATGTCCTTGCAGTCGACCAATTCTCTCACACCAGAAACGACTTGCAGTTTCTCAAGTCGCTCCTGACATGGAAAAAATAGACTGGATGCACAATTGTTGTGCTCATTATGCTTTCGGCTTGCTTTCCTAATTGTATTTTATCTTATTACCACCAAATAATAGAAGGAAAGATGAACCAGTTATGGATCACTTACTCGCCTTATCACTAACAAGTCCAGTTGCTTCAACATGACTTAGTACAGATTCAAGATGTGTACCCTTCACATAAAGGTGCTTGGAAATAAATGTTTTAAACATTTCAACCCCAACTTACAGGACAGAGTCTTCAAAAGGTGGTGCAGAATCCATCAAAAACCACACCAAACCATGAGGGAAGGCTTTCTTTCTATGAAAGAATGCCACCTGACAAAAAGACATGCACAAAGCTTAAGAGAGCCTATGTGGGTACCACCAGCATCCAATGATTGTATGGCTGCAGACCTCTCCCAGAATGAACCTGTTTCAAAAGTGAGGCCCATTACCCTCCTCTCTCCACCGGCCATTTATTCTGCACATGGAGCAGCGTGCCTGGCAGGGCTCAGTAAAAGCTGTGGCATCTGCCTTTGTCTTGCTGTGTGCCCACATACTGGGGCAGCCTGTTTGGGCCTCATTGCAATTAGCACATCCCGTTCCGTGCCATGTTTTAATTCACGGAGAGCATGATTTTCCTTGCCAAGCATGACAGCTAAACACTGAAGGCTTTGGGATATGCTTGCTTTGACTTTCATTAGGTCTTTGTTTCTAACGGCAAAGCTGGTTGTCTCCTTTTTGTTAGAAATCCATGTGGCGCTCCAGGAAGGATGAATGCCACCTCCATTTCCATGCAGCCTCTGGCAGTGCATGAGGGCAGGAGAGAGATGTTCATACAGCCCCAGTGCAAGCAATCAAAGACACATGCATTGTCTCAAGAGCCTCACCATTTTTGAATTCTGGCTGTCCTCTGGGGCACTCACTAGCTTCTTCTCTTAGTTTGGTTCTTCTGTACGAGGAGAATCAGTTAGTAGCTTGAAGTGATTCCTGGAGGGATCACTAAGTAAGACTCTCGCTGAAGACATCACCCTACTGTTATAAACGGCTAGGACATATGCATCGCAAAACACAGTTTGTTCATTTATTTACACAGCAGCCGTTTAGTCTTAATTGTTTGTGTTAATAATTCATAATGGACTATGGTAATACGCTGCGGTACAGCTGGCTTTTAAAAGGTGACATCTGTACAGCATAGATCTTGTTTTTGGCTTCGGCTTGAGGTTTTGCACTATAGCAGAGAAACACAGAGCAGCGTGCACATGCCCACACAAATGCTCTTAAAGGTTTAAAGGGCAGGCAAGATGCTCTTGAGGAGATTCTCAGGCAGTTCCAAAAAGGCCTGGGGGATTTTGCATAAATTTAGCTGGCTGCCTTGCCTCCTGCATTTCCTTACTATGCTGGTACGCTGTCATGTAGAACAAATGCATGAGGAAAGGCCGCCTCCAGTGTCCATGGCGAGTGAGTAGGAAGGATGCCAATGCAGCCCCTCCCCAAACAAGGGGGTCCTTGCAACATCCCTGGCTCTTTTCCTGTTTAGCCGCATCATTTATATTCCCTGACCTGGCAAAAGCCGTTGGTTCTGCAGTCTGATTAAAGGAACTGGGCATTTGATCTGTAATTGTTTTTCAATGGCTGTATCTTCTTCTGTGTTATTGCTTTACATGGCTTGCGTTTGTACAATATTGAAAATCAATAAAAGTACAAAAATGTATTTTTCCTTCCTCTTAAAAGTGAAACGATCTTGTTAGGATTCTAGTGTGGGTGTATTGCAGTGGAAGCCTCATCTTCCCCCGTTCCTTTCCTTTCCTTTTTTTTAAAAAAAGTACTTCCTGAAGTCTCTGTGAATGTGGAAATATGCCCGTACACTTAACCAAAATCTTTCACTACAAACTCCAGACAAATTGGACTGAAAACTGGGACAGTTGGATGTCAACTAGCGGCTGTCTCTCAGCTATTTGGGGCCACTAGACACAAGATTTCAAATTTTAAGGGTCTGCCACTACTCTCACAAAATGGCCGCCAGAATGCGGCTGCATTGTTGACCCAATCCCAATAACCTGAATACCAAAAGCACACATTACTGCTCTTGAACCCAGCATTGTGCTCCTACAGAAAGCTGAGGGTCAAGAAACTTCCCTGAAATGGTGAGGTCTGAAACCATCAAAGGCCACAAAGCTTTCTTTTTTGGTCTCACA